ATAACAATAATAACAATACACCGTGTACTTAAACAAATAAGTTATCATCACTGAAATATATAGTGAAAACTGACTTAAATAATTCTAAATAACAGAAATTAAGAATGAGCTTTGAGACATGGATAAAACAAATATAGGGAGGAAATAGAGATTGAAAAACACGTTGCTAAAAATACATCTACTTTATTAACAGATCAATTAAAAGATGCCTGTTAAAATAATGATTAGATGAAGGATGGATACGGAATGAGATTTTGTTTGAATAAATTTTGCTAACTTCTAGAATTTTTTCGAAGCCTTCACTTGAAAGGAACAACCACTATTAAACAACGCTGAAGCAAACATTTCAATCCAAATAATACGTAACTTTGTCCCATCTTCCATACATCTGCATAAAGAGACTTTTACATTCTTCCCTTTCCTTGGTTCTATAAAATCCTGAAGACTATGGATTTCAGAGATCCGTCTATAAGTAAGGTGCTTAGTTACCAATTCATGACTATTCTATGCTTACCATTATTCCCCTATCCTCTTACTAAGCAAACAAAAGAAGTACCAATTGAGATGAGAGACCCGTATTAATTTCATCCTTTAATTTCTCAACTTTTTTATTTTCCTCCTCTTCTGGATTGTTGGATTTCGTGTTCGAAGGCTGATTTGTCACAATATCTGCACTATAATTCACAGGAATTGATGTACAACCACTAGCAACAGTATCTACATTATTAGCAGATTCAAATGTAGACATAGCAGGAAAAGTATTAAAACATGTCTGATGTAACAGTGATGAAGATGATGGCGATGATGATGGCTTGTTGATATGATTATTACTACCATTACTTGTCATACTGCTCGTAATGGCATGATGAATATTTGTATCACCTACTGCTTCGCAAAATACCGGAACATAAACTACGGGACGGGAGTCAAATTGCGAACGATTCTCATTAAATTCTTTCATTGAAAGCCACCGTAAATGTGACGAAAAACAACCATCTTCATGCTGTCGACAATCTGTCAGCAAACTATCATTACTTCGAACCTGTTCGGTACACTTTCGACCATGACAGCTATTACCTCGAACAGTCATTGCTGCTCCGCCAGAACTTGGACGCTCGATACCAGTTGCCGTATTAAGCCTGCTACGACCATAAGTCGGCTGAGTAACTCGAGTTCGACATGATAATGAGGAACATGTAAAGGATGCACGCATATCGAATGGGTTACAGTTTGGTGGTGCTCGGATCCATTTCTCATTCTCCTCCTTTGGTACCAAACGTTCCTGAAACTGAAAAAGTAAATTCACAGGAAATCATTTCACAGAGCTTGTAATAAGCCACCATGTTTCTAATTTGTTCATTACTAAATATGTTGAATATATATATATATATATATATAGACAAGAATTTGCAAATTTTAATACTAAGTTTGCATTTTATACATGTCATGTTTCATCCTTTTTTATTAATTACTTTTGTGTTTGATATGTTTATATGAATCAAGGTTTGCTAAACCACTGATTCAATTCATCGCAGACTTCAAAATTCCTGATTCATCTGCTACTCTTGCTTTTTGCCATCTTTTTCCCTAGACTTTTCCGACGGCACCGGCAGTTCTTTTTCTTTCGTGAAAGAAGCGATTTGAACTGCACCAGTGGAGTTTGGAAATTTTTGTTTGCAAGAAAAATTTCTAACAAGAATAAAAAATTGGTGTTTATCAACATATCTCGAGCGGGAAAAGCGTACAATCATATATTTTTCAGCTTTGTCTGTTATTCAAACTGTCATGTTATCAGTTGGATTTACATTTCTATTCTTTTACTCTTTGCTTCGCCATACAAAAATATATGATTGAGAACGGAAAGGAGAAAAGGAAGCTCTGAAGAAAGGGGTCGGAAGATCGGGTGAATAATTTAATGAATAATGCCACAATACTCATACAAGTAACAACAAAACAAGAATGTCAGTCGGCTGTTTGTAAATAATTCTCTTCCCTCCGAAAGACATTTCATTTTTCAAATCAAAAAATGAGAAATCAAAGAGTTATTTAAGACGCCAGAAATTCATATTATCCATCTAGAAAAAAAAAGAAGGAAAGACAGAGGAAGACGAGAAAAATAATTTGAAGAGATAGATGAATGATTTTCAAGCAAATGAAGATGGTAT